AAAAAAAAAAAAAAAAAAAAGATTCCTGACCCTTATCCAATGTACACACCCCTATTATGAAACTAATTTATACCTTTTATATGTAAGCTATAACCTAATAACAGCCTAAGAATATGGGGAGGAGGGAAGGAGAGGGGAGGAGGGAATGGGTGGAGGGATCACTTCTGAGGTTTATCTTACAAGGGTACAAGTGAATCTTTCTAAGAGCAGACTGTGAACATTTTAAAATAATAACTAAGAAAATGACACGAAGGCTATGTTAACCAGTTTGATGGAAATGTTTCTGACTGTGTGTGAAAACCCCACACTGTACCCTAGAAGTGCATTAATGTACATAGTTACCATTCAATAAAAAAAAAAAAGAAGAAAGAAAAAAAAAAGATTCCTGATCCTGGTGTGTAAATACATGCAATTGTTTTTTGCAACATGGGTCTTAAACACAAGTAGATATCTGATCTGATTTGACCAAGGATGAAGTCATCTGGTCAAATGCTAGCATAAAAACTGGATGTGTCGTTGGCTCGGCACCCATAGCACAGCAGTTATGGCACCGACCACGTGTACCAAAGCTGGTGGGTTCGAACCCGGTCTGGGCCAGCTAAACAACGACAACTGCAACAAAAGATAGCCAGGCCTTGTGGCAGGTGCCTGTAATCCTCAGCTACTTGGTAGGCTGAGGGAAGAGAATCGCTTAAGCCCAAGAGTTTGAGGTTGCTGTGAGCTGTGATGCCATAGCACTCTACCAAGGGCAGCACAGGGAGACTCTGTCTCAAAAAAAAAAAAAACCACTACCAGTGTTGGACATACTGCCAGGCTGGGGAGGGGTCCTCCACTATGTTCATTCCTTTGTGAGTGAGTAGTTTGAACATTCATTATTTCTGACTCAGATTTTAGCCTTGCGTGTAGCTGGACATCAGAATCTCATCTAGGTGTATGTAAGCTCCCACTCCAGAGAACTACCAGTATCTCATGTACAAGCAAAGTAACAAAGCTCAAAAGGCTCAAAGAACTTGGATGCTGCCCCAGACTAGGGTAGGCAAAGCCCCTGAACCCCACTCACTGGCATTAGACTTTCCACCCCATGACCACATCACACGGGGTTTTTCTTGGCTATATCTACATGTCACACACACACACACAAATGTGTTTAAGGACACAGATCTGTCACTGGCCTATTTGGAACCTCAACCATCAATTTTTGGATTGTACAAAACTATTCTCTCAGGGACATTTAAAAACAGAGTAAGTTGTGCAGACACACTCAACAGGAAGAGCAATGGAGCTCAGAAAATAAGCGTAGGTGAAGATTATTTTCACCTAATGTGCATGATGCAATGGTACATTTCAAAACTATTAAGAAATGAATATGGCTCGGCGCCTGTGGCTCAACCGGCTGGGCGCCAGCCACATACACCTAAGGTGGCGGGTTCGAATCCCCAGCCCGG